CTTTCCCTCTCCCTTTCTTTTTCTCTCTTTCTCCATCTTCCTTCCTTTCTTTTGTTTCTCTTTCTTTCACTTCCTATTTGAGTAAAATGTTGAGGTGATGGCTGTAGTTTAAGCAGCCATCTTGGACTATACAGTAGCAACCATATTCTGAGGCTAGCAGGACAAACAGAAAGTCTGAGTATTTGATGATGATGGAGTCAGTATGCAAGCCCTGCTGATTTCTGAGTTTTGTTTAGATGAAAGTAAATTAAGTGTTTATCTTGTTAAAACCATTGCCACTTTGGGTTGTCTGGCCCTTGCACACTACAATAATCTTAACGGATAATATTTTCCTTTGTTTGTTCATTTTAGAAAACCAGTCTTTCTAAGACTAACAGTGCCCAGAAGTCTGAGGCAGATGAGGGGACGAGGCTAGTCCTTTGCCATCTTCTGCCCATCTCGTACCTTAGGTCTTTTCCAGTCCACCCGGGTGTGGTCTCGCGCGTCACTGTTCTTCCACTGCTGCATGATCTTGGCCGGGATGGTGTCTGTGTAGTTTACCAACTGGAAACCTGTCACATTTGCTCCACTCTCCTTGAATTTGTTTAAGTCGATGTCCATGAAGCCCTGTGGAAGGAGAAGGGAGAGAAGTCAGAACATGTTGCCTGGATAAATGGATTTGACCATGTCAGAGAATCACAGGGTTTTCCATCCTACTCCACGAGGTGGAACTGATTTAATGGAGAGACAGTTGAGCTTCCCTTCTTTCTGAAATCAGTTATCAGTTTGTGCACAAAGTTAGCACAGTGGTTAAGAGCGCTTGCTTAGGAGCCCAGCATGCCTCTTAAGTATTGGCTCAGCCCCTCCCATGACATTCTTTATACAACCTCAGGCTGAGTTACTTAATGGCTTCTTGTTTGAATAATTGATAGCAGGAGGTTGGGGAGAAGATGAAGTAACATGATGTATACTAAGTGGGTGGTGCCGACTGAGTGATCAATAAAGTGATGGCTGAGTTTTTTCTGACACAGATACACAGAACAAATGAAACTTTTAAGGAAATAACCGCCTCATCCACCGCTCTTACCTCTACCTTTTTAAAAGGTGAGGAACTTGAACCCCTCTCCCCCAACTGGGACAAGTGTTTCTGAGTTCCCCAAGGTCACCCACAAGTCTATGGGAAGAGGCTGGATTCTGATTTTTCATCCTTCTGCTTGCACAATTCCACACACAACAGTTTAGATCTTCTCCACCTGATGAGGCCTGATCAATTCTAACATCTATAGAGGATTTTTATTCAGTGAAATTTCACTCCCACTTGATGAAATTTACTAAAACTCAGGAAGACTTCAACTTAAAGGAAAGCTTATATTTGTATAATTCAATAATGTACGGTACTTTCATAGCTCTAGCCTCATTTTACTTTATCTCTTTATAAGGTGCAAATTATGTATGTCCATTTTCCTGATAAAGATACTGAGACTGTGAGTCTTGCCCACAGTCATTTAGTAAGTTTTGTGGCAGAAACAGAACTAAGTTCTTCTCTTGGGCCATTTACTCACTCACTCACTCAACGTTCAGCACATGAATACCTCTACTACACTGTTCTAGTAGTGAATACAACTTTACATTCTGGTGGGAAAGATAGACAATAAACACAGAACTAACTAAATATATGGTGTGATATATATAAAGTATAGTATAGTCCAGTGTAGTATGCGCTGTGGTAACAATGAGTCCTATGAAGAAAAATTGAAGTAGGGTAAGAGGAGGAAAGGTCATTTTTGGAAGGAATGATCAAGATAAGTCTTGCCAAGGAGGTTGGCACAGGGACCTGAATGAGATACAGGGAAAATCATTCTGAAAAAAGGCCCAGAGGTAAAGGATGATTGGCATGTTCCAGAAACAGTAAAGAGACTAGTATGACTATGGCACAGTGAGTAAGAAAAATATATATCCAGAGATGGGAAATAAGGTCAGAGAAGCAGCCCAAAGCTAGATCATAGAGCCTTGTGTTAACATGAACTTCTTTTAGATGTAATTGGTGTCCACTGCAGGAATTTGAGCAGGGATCATAAAAATCAATGTCCTCTTGGCTCCATGACTTGAGGAAACTATCAAATTCCAATGAGAGAAATGGGGTAATGTGCAAAGGAAGCATTAAGGTGGTTGAAGGAAGCCCTGGACTAGCACCTAAGAGACTTAAGTGTAGGTCCCTGCTTTGCCTTGGGTTCCTATGGCACTGCCCACATCCATTAATTTCTCCTTGACTTCATCTAATTTTCTCATCTAAAAGAATGGATTAAACTTACCCTTCCCCAACTGGTGCCTCTAAAACTCCATGATTCTTTATTCTATTTTATAAACCAGCTCAATCCCACTTGGTTTTGCTCTTTGATATTTTGCTCAGAAATGTGATTTCTTTGACTGTATCATTCCCATCATTCCCATCTTCAGCTAACATGTCATCTCTTCAGAGAGGTCTTTTTTGATCTTGGTGTAGAGAACTGATTCTTGCCCTATAGTACACCCAGTTAGCACTCTATCCATTTCTACTCCCATTTCCACACTAGCATTCCACTTTTTTTTTGTACTAATTGCAAACATCTATTACCCCACCATTGTGAAAAGTTAGTCAGGCATGTTGAAGAGTAATAATGCCCAGATGCAGCTCTCAACAAATGATGGATGGGAAATTAACGGTTACATACCCCAGAATCTTTCAGTCTGGGAAGCACAACCCTGAGAGGCCATTCTACACTGATATCTAGAGATCTCCTTTGAGACTGAGCTCCCTTCATGGCCTACAATTCTGTCTTGATTATGCTGTTTTCTCTTACTTACCTCATCTCCTGGCTTTCCTGCTGGTATTTCTAGGATTGTCACCAAAATAAACCACTTATACTTCAGTCCTTGTCTTAAGATCTTCTTCTAGAAGACCACAAACAAGTAAACCCCAGCTTCTGTTCAGTCAGATGTATCTCAGTTCTCTGTTAATATATTTCTAAAACATTCATTTCCATATGAAGTTATCTTGTTGACTCATTTGTTTCTTTGCCTTTCTCCTCTCATTGGAATGTCAACTTCACGACAGCGGGGACATTTTCTGTCTTAGTCACTGACATATCCTAGAACTTGTACCTAGAACAATGCCTGGCACAGAGTAGATGGAGAGTATATATTTGTTGAGTGAATGAATAAAAGCCAGATACTATCCTCCAGCAAAATGTCAATAAGGGAAAAATAACCAGCAGGCAGCAAATGCCATTGGATAATTTTAATTGGTTAGAAAAAGAAATGAGTTGGAAATTCCTTTTGAGATTAACTTGTCCCATAGCCATAGTTCACAGTTTCACACAGATGACTGGTTTGTACAATAGTACTAGCAAGCTGTTAGTAAAGGTGAAATCAAAATTAGTTTCCCTATCCAGTAAGCATTATCATCTAAGAACATAGACCTGCCACCACTGGTTAAAATCTGGTACACAGTTGAAAGATTTCCCATAGTTCTTAGAGACTTTAAAAGGACTTTTTTTTTTTTTAAATAAAATAACTACTGAGAGGGTGAAAGAGAAATTATCTCCCGCAGTCAAATTCTGTCGCTTAAAAATCTGTAACAAGCTCATGGGCATTTTGTACTGATTGCTTCTATCTTGAATATAATGGAGGCCAAAGGAAATGGCAGAGTTTGTTCAAACATGAATGCCACTCAACTTAATCACCAGAATGTCTGACTGCAAGGTTAGTGGGAGCCAAACCTTGATAATGTATAATCAAATGGATGAGACCTTCCACCTGAGCCCCTCCCTACTCTTTGGGAAGAATATACAAAGAACGACAAAACAAGTCCCTAGCTAAGCTAACCCTGTAGTGCCGTGGTTAAGCATTGGGGGCCAGATCTCACATAGCCAATTTGGATCCCGATCTGGCAGCTCAAAACACATGACAGGCATGTGTGTGTACATCTACAATCCCACTTGGAAGGAGAAATGGACGATGAGGGATTGCAGCCTGATCACATCCTGTTGGGAGGTGCTTTTTCTCTTTCTCTTATTCTTTCTCTTGGGAGGGTGCACGCCTTTTGTCAATGAAAAAAGTCTGATAGCTTTTACATCAAGTAAAAGAAAAAAATTAGAAAATAACTTGGGTCAATGTATGTTCATTTAATAGCTGACATCTCTCCAGTGTAAAATTTTATGCCAGTAATAATAATCTTGAATCCCTTCAATGTCCTTAATCACCAAAAATGAGTCTTCTAAAGTTATTAGACTTCTGCATAATGCAAGGAAAAAAATGGTCTTCGCCAATATAGAAATATGTTCTTGTCTATGCAAGGGAAATAAAGGTGTTAATATTTTTGCCCACCAATTCACTGGAAAATTCAACTTGCTCACTCTATTCCCTTGAGCACTCTCATTAAACAAGATTTAATTAAATCATTTTCTAATTCTATTTGCCATTTTATTAACAAAAAAATGGAAAGGTAATATTTGGTAATTAGTGCATTTTTCTCATGTGCTTTATTTGTGCTATTTATTATATAATATTGTATATGAACACTACATTACTAATTATATTCTATTAGAAATTTTAACTCTGCAGTTTGATCATTACTATTCTCTTTAAGCCATTTCGCCTATTTTATAACATTCCCCCAAATGCCGAGTTTATGGCTATATATACACATGGTGACTATTAAATAAAAGTGAAATTAATCTGCAGGGTGCTTGTTTTTAAGTTATTGAGTGCTTTATAAATGATGTAGAATGAGATTGCAGGTCTAAATCCACACACTATCCACTGTACCCCCAGCACTGGCACCAGATGCTGTTTGGCAGAGTGGCTCTCATTTGTTGATATAATGAAGCTTTGTACTGAGTAAACTCTTGGGGCTGATGGGTCATTATGCTCTGTTTGCTTCTTCTGCAACTCTGTGGCATTTGATATGTCTCATGTGTGACTATAGAATGGGTGATGTGAGAAGGATGTTAGGCTTATCATTTTCATTCAAATGCAGATGAACTTGCTGATTCAAGGCAAGCTCTCAGGATAACAGTCCTGAACCTGAGAAACACATCAGATACTTGGGGAGAAGTGTCAGGAAAAGAGTTTCAGGAACAACCACATTAGATCTGTCCTGTCTTTGAACCATAAGAAATCATTTTTAGCTCATGAGCCATACAAAGTTGGATTTGACTCAGGGGTCATAGTTTGCTGACTCTGAGCTACATATGAAGAAAGATTTTGAAGATTAGACCAAATTTTCATTGTATAACTAGAAGTACAGATCTAGGGAAGGAATTGGTGGCTTAGAGTTGTATACTGTTAGAGAATGAGTTGGGATTAGAAGCTATCTCCCCTCTGTACCCACTGAAGGAGACAATACTATGCAGAAAAGCCATCTGAGTAGAATGACTAGGAGTAAAAGTGCTCAATTAAGTAAACTAGTTAATATAGTCACTCTATCTATCACATGTCAATTATAATTTTCAAAGGATTAGAATGAAAAGGCATTTCAAATAATTATGATACCCTGAAGAGATGTTTAACACTATAACTACATTGGACATGCTTTTATATTACTGTGAAGATTTGTAGAATGCTTTAAAGATCCTGAAGAGGCTCTG